GACTTCCGGTTGGCGCCAGCAGCAATGGCTGACCTCCTCTGATTTTGGAGGGGGTAGCTCAGCGGAAAATCGGGTCCTGTGCGCTGCGGCGAAGCGGGGACCCTTAGAAATCGCAGGCGCGGAAGCCTGCGAACGTGGAGGCTCGGCGGGCACCTTGGAGCGCCCCCCCAACCCGAGAGGAAGCCTTTTACTGAGGCTTCGGAACGGAGCGGGGGAGAAGCGCAGTGCTGCGAGCGGATCGCTGCTTTCACTGAGCGAAGCCGTGTTGCCGTTGCTGGAGAGCGCTGACTTATTCCTGGAACATTTGGACTGAAATTTTAACCGTGAGTAGAGGAATTGGATTAAAAGAGCACTAATTGGATTAAATTGGACTATCTGGATAAAAGCGGAAAAGTTTTAGCTGCAAAAAACCGTCTGAATTGGCTACCGCGGTGGAAGTGCAAACAGGAAGTCCGCTTCCCGCATTGTATCCGGAATAAAGCATAGAGATTTTGAGCTAAACGTGGGAAAATTGAACTGAAATAAGTCTTTTCTTTCTGACCTGAGAACTTTGGCGGAATCTACCTTTCGGAGGGATAAAGGGAAAGGCTTTGTTTTGATTCTACCGGACTGCTTAAAGATCTAAAGATTTAAAGAGCGATCTGTCAGTGAGACGTCTCAGCTGTCAAAAGCTGTCAGTGCTGCTTGTTGGCTGTAAAGAAGATATATTGTGGCCAATTTCGTTGGGGAAAATAATTGGAAAGTTACATTGTGTCCTCCATCTTTGTCTCTCTACTTAGTTTCTCTTTCCTGTTATTTTAGAAGGACAGTAACTGGTTTGGTGGCAACAGTGTCCACCTAGTGGGACTCCCTGAAATTACAGGAAAGGAATTTTCCACTTGTAAACAGGAACAGCAGACGTGGGAAAAGAACTTGACCTTCACTTTGTTATGGCAGATGGCCAAAAATCTCAAGACCCGTCAGTCTTGAGATCTGGGAAACCTTGGGTACATAGAAGGCAATCATCTGCTGGTTTGCCTGCATCGGCAACACAATCTAAGTCTGGTGGAATGTCTGAGGAAATTTTAGCCAGTGCTTTGGCTAAGATTAATGAATCTATACAGCAACTTAGTACAAGGGTGGGGAGACGAATAGGAAAGTGGAAGAAACGAACCAGAAAGTGGATATTGCTAATAGAAAAATTGATTTAAACACAGAAACATTAGACAATTTGGAGAAAAAGGTAAACAGCAACACGGAATCTATTCAGAGATTACTGCAAGACTCAAAGTCTATACAGGAAAAGACTGCTGCTGTGGAATTTAAATTGGGGCAATTGGAAACTGAAAAGGTACCAGACCTGCAGAAAGAGATTGCAGAACATAAGTTAACGTTGTCTATGATTGATCTTAGAGACAAACAAACGAATTTAAGAATTAGGGCTGTTCCTGAGTTGGAGAAAGGCACCTTGATAGACTTTTTGACACAAGAATTTCTGGAATTTTGGAAATCGGACCTGAAACAAGAGGACTTTAAGATTGTGAGGGCCTTTCGACTGGGGAAAGGAGGAAGAAAGATTAAAATAAGGGACTGTTTGATTACCCTCCGATCCAAAGAAGAAAGGGACAAAATTTTGGGCTTGCATTACGAAAAACCCTTGACAATCATACAATCGAAAGTGGAAATCTTTAAAGACATACCAAAACATCTTCTTGACTTAAGACAGGATTTTGGAGACTTGGTGGCCTTGTTGAGAAAAAATAAAATCCTTTTCAGGTGGGAATTCCCTCAAGGTCTATCCTTTAGTTTTAAAGGAAGAAAGACCAAGATAAGATCAGTGGAGGAAAAGAACAAGTTTTTGAGTGCATACGAAGAAGATCTACAGAAAGGATTGGGAAAAGACAC